ATTTCAGCAAACTAGAATGTACAATGCAAAGGAAAATATAAATATAAATATTTTAGATTCTTGTATATCTAGATTGAGTTTGACAAGAGATTTGAAAATGATTATTTGTATACACTTGTAGGTTCTAAAAGGATATAATTCTTCTTCCTTTAAAGATCATTATTTTTTAGAATTCTTTTTAAGATATAGGAGCCATAAGATTGAAAAGTAAAAAAATAATTATGTTAACAACTACATTGTATAGGAATAGAAATATAGGTTTATTAGCAGTTCCCTTCTACATTTATTTTATAGCAAACCATGAGTTTTACTTTAAAAATTTATTAATAAATTAAAGGTCTTTATTTATACATTCTTATTCATAAATAATTTTATTGTGTGATCATATATATTGTAAAGTGCATATTAAAGTTCTAAATTATAATTCCTAAGATAGATCCATCTAATCCTATATTTATATGGTGATTGATTATGATTAAGATTGTTAGCTGACAACACACTCTAAGTGAAGTAATATTGTATATACCCCTTAGGCTTTACACCTTCCTTCTATTCTATCCTTCCAAAAATAAATAATCTGAAGCCTAAATCTAAATTCCAAATTCCAATTAAAGATTACAATCTAAAGCATGTATACTAAAATCTTGATAACTCAAGACTTTCTTTAAATATAAATGAATTTAAAAATCTTTAGTTTTCACTTTAATTAAGAGTATTCTCTTTAAAATTTTAATTAACTATAGGGGCTTGCCCCGATAACTAAGTTAGAGGCTATAAGACACTAGATTAGTAGTAAGAAATAAGGTTAGCTTAGAAGCTAAGTGGTATAATTAAGTAGAAGGAATTAATTTTGAGGAGACTTTTGCCATGATAACTAGTTAGAGGATATAAGAATGTTGTTAGCCTTTGGTTATTTTAAAGGTTTCAAGTTGTACATAATGGATGTTAAAAGTGCTTTTCTAAAAGAAGTGATAAAAATATTTATGTAGAGCAGCCCCAATATTTTGAGAATTCTACCGTTCCTAATCATTTTTATGTTCTTAAAAAAATACTTTATGGGCTTAAGCACACACTTAGGGCTTGGTGTGATAGATTCAACACTTCTCTTCTAGAAAATAAATCATTAAGGGCACCATAGACATCACCTTATTCCTAAAAAAAGTTTAGAGAAAATTTACTAAGTTCAAATTTATGTTGATGACATTCTATTTGGATCCACAAATAAATTTTATGCTATAAATTTTCTTCCATTATGAGTATCAAATATGAGAGATCATGATAGGTGAGTTAACTTATTTTCTTATGTTTGGTGTCAAACAAAAAGATGATTGTACCATCCTAAGCTAATCTAAATATATTAAAGAAATCTTGAATAACTTTGATATGGAAGGTTGCAAAATTATGAATACACAAAAAAGCACGACAATCTAGTTAAATAAAGGTCAAGATGAAAAGTTTGTAGATCAAAATAAATATAGAGGTATCATAGATTCCTTACTTTACTTAATTACCATGAATTCTGGCATTATGTTCAGTACTTGTCTATACACTAGGTTTTAGGCTAACCCTAAGAAATCATATTTGATCATTGCTAAAAGAATAGTAAGATATATTATATGTACTCAAAATTTAGGTATATAGTATCCTAAGAGTAGTTTGACTTTTAATTTAGTTAGATACTCGTAATCAAATTTTATTAGATGTAGGATAGAAAGAAAAAGCACCTCAGAAATGTGTCAGTTTATAGAACAATCTCTAATTTCTTGGTTCAGTAAAAAGTAAAATTTTGTAGTTCTGTCCACTATTAAGGTCGAGTATGTAGCTGTAGGAAGCTGTGTTTCCTAAACCATGAGGCTAAAGGAATAGATTCTTAACTTTATACTACCCGTAGGTACTATCCCTATTATGTGTGATAATACTAGTGTAATTTGCATCTTGAAAATCCTAATCAACACTCATAGTAAATGCATAGATATTAGGCATCACTTTATTAATGATCATGTAGCAAAAGGTGATATATAATTTATGTATGTTGATAATGAAAACTAATAATTGGATATCTTTACCAAACACCTAAAGTATAATAAATTTAGTGCACTCGGGATTAAAAATGATGTCATTGGCTTATGTTCTTAGAAAAAATTGGATAGTGGTGTGTTGGTTGTGATTGTGCATATGTTTTTGTTTGTTTGCTATTATGAGTATGTCATATTGTGCATGTTTGTTTGTGTTTGTTATATATATTTCGATCATGTATCTATTTATCATTTGAAGTGTGTTTTATTAGACTTTCTATTTTTAGTAGTTCCTTTTAATCTGTAGTTTCTTTTATTTGGTGATATCGAAAGGGGGAGTAGTGAGTGTGTTGTTTATATTATTTAAAATTTATTAATGCAGATCTTTTTATTTCATTTTGGCATTTGTTATGTTGTTATGTGCTTATTGGAAATAAAAAAACTAAAAAAAATAATATATTAAAAAAATATAATAAAATAAAAAATTTTCTCCAATTTTAAAAGAAAACACTTAGTGAGCGAGAGAATTGAGTAAAGAACAAAAATTTAAACTTGCAAATTAAATTTCCAGCCCATAATGTTTGACATCATAAAAAAGTAGTTTGTTCAAATCCGAGAATCTGACGGTACAGTCTTATTATTACAAATACTATTGGATGCCTCATTTATTTATTCTTGCATCACATTTTGGATATTTATTTTTGTATGCTACTAACCTTTCGGGCACATCACATACTAATCAAAGATTGATGAACTACCTTAAGACAATGTAGCATCAAAGTAAAAGTCAATTTGTATGTTACAAAATCTATACATTTTTCTTGAGTTTATTTCTATATTAGATGTATATTGACTTAGTAACTGTGAACACAAATAGAAAGGGGCAAAAATTAAATGTATATTTTTCATCTTTATTGTATTAAATGATCTGTTCAAATAGAAATTAATTAAAATATTTAATTAAGTGAGATAATTAGAACTAACATATAACTAGTTGTATTGTATGATTTACACATGCATGATACTAGACGTTCAGGTATATTAAAAAGCCTAATTGTCAAATCCTGATTACTTAAAATAGACAAATTTAAAATTTTATGAAATACTTCGTATTGCATGATAATTAATTATACTTGCCTTATTTAAGTCCAATAATTAAGGAATTGAATCAAATTTAAATTAATTTGAGATCATACTATTCAATACATATATCATACCATACTATTCAATACATATATCATACAGTCTGATCCACTTGAGAGCTCTATGGACAAACATTGGTTTGTCCAATACAATCTGATTTTCAATTTGAACTGATCATACTATATGATTTTTAATCTTTTAAGACGATCTTTGAAGACATTGAATTAATCGTATTGTACGATATGACAATCGTAATGTACAAATAGATGCAACATAAAAAAAAAATTAAGATTTTGAGAACCCACTTGTATATTGAGGGGGAAAGGTGTTTGGGCATCCTCACCAAGCATGAAGGAGAAAGCTGCCTACCACTGGACCAAGGAGTTGAGACAGATCGGCTTCTCTATCGAACTAGTAAGCGAAAGAAGAGAATGTAGTACCGCTAGGCCGAGGAAATATGAGATTCTTCAGGTGTGAAGAGTCTGTAAGAGTGATTCTCTTGCCTGCTCAATGGAGAAAGATATTCTCCGCCAAACTGTGTGCTAAATGAAAGATATTCTCTTGCCTGCTCAATGGAGAAAGATATTCTCCGCCAAACTGTGTGCTAAATGAGAGACACTTATAGTATAAATCTCAAATAAGAGAAATACACCACCAATCGAATCATAAAACTAAAATGTATACTTTTACCAGCATTTAATGATAGAAAATTTTGACCTCCCAAGGAAGCCTCTAGAGGAATTGACCTAGAGGCTCATTGGGGCACTCATTCAAAACAACGAACAAGCATCACTCGCTTTAGCCTTCTCAAGGAACTTGCCCTACACAAGGCAAATTCAAAATTCCTCTCCAAAGTTAATAGCTCTACACAGCCAAATATACGAACCCCATTTTAATCTCTCGCTTTCTCCCACTTTGAAAAATGTCTACAAACTCAACTATATATGAAGGCACCTAATCATAGGGAGCTTTTATTTTGTATGAAAACCAGACGGGAGAACCAAACAGTTAAGTACTAGATACCCTACAGTACCCAATGATATCAGAGTACAGGTACTGAGCTGGAACGCTCTCCGCACAGAATAATTCTTTACTCATCATCATAGGAGAGGAATTAATCCCTGAGCAATGGGATGAAGTTACATTACCATCATCAATTAGATCTTATAAAAGTAATTTCTTTTTTTTTTAAGGACGTGCAGTTAATTCATAACAAATTGATGAAAACTACTTAAAGATATTGCTTTGCTTGAGCCATTATAATATTTCAATAATAAACAATGTATTTTATTCATTTGAATATAATTTCAAAATCCTTGTTTGAATTTAATTTTCTTATCACGTTTCAAAAATTAACTAACTATCCTAAAAAAATTGCTCACTATCCATCCCAACTTCACGAGACAGCCAAAGGATCCACTTAACGCACATAAAATAAAAAATGTCAAAACAAAATTTTTATCTACTAGTTCACCTTTTTTTTATTTAATTTCTCCTTCTAATTTATTCGCCTAACAATTTAATCCTTGCGAATTACTTTAACTAGAACAAAATTTATTAATTCTGTTCTGTTCGACTTAATTTTAGAAAATACGACTGTGCCAGCGAAATTAATTTCCCTTGAAATTCTTGAAAAAATGAGGGATTCTGATTTTTTTTTAAAATAATGTTAAAAATTGCATTCATTTATTCGATATAAAAAGGCAAAATATCAGGTAACTAACTTCTTTCTTTACCAGTAAATTCCTAAAATTTTCACAATGCTAGCAAAGTAAAACCCAGAAAAACAAAACGAAACCCAGCCGATAGGAAAAGCTCAGTAACAAAATCAGACGGCCAGAATCATCTCAGCACGCGGCTGCATAACCGTGACACATCCGACGGCTGCAGCGGCTTCAGAAGAAAATCCTCAGCGCCCTCATCCAAACACCTAAATCACCACGAAAATAACTATATTACACATTTACCATTTCAAATAAAAAAAATGTTAAAAACAAAATAATGATCGTACGTGCGTATACGGTTGGGGACGTTTTCGGACGACATAATCACCACCGGAATCGCCTTTAACTCCGACGAACCCTGCAAGGGCCACCGTGGCATTTCAGTGGATAGCATAAAAAGCCCAACTGAAAATCTCATTTTTCAGCTCAAAATGTCATGAAACTAAAAATGCCACGATTCATCTCCAATCAAATTCCATTTTACCCGGTAACGATCGTTCTCTTCTTTCACGTTTCTTAGGGAAGTTCAGTCCATATAAAAAAATAACAAAAAATGAACAATGCAACATTAATATTGATATCGCACTGTTCATCTATGATGAAACAACATAAAAATTGCCGCTCAATTGGAGCGATAAAACTGTTCCGTTGGAGATGCTCTAAAGTTAAAAAAAAAAAATTTACCCTAGCGCCTACGCCCTACCTTAATCTTTCTCAGCAGCTCCAGTCCGGTCATCTCCGGCATCCAGTAGTCCGTAATTATCATGCTCACATTCCTCTCCTGCATAATTCAAAACAAAAAAAAATAATAAAAAAATATTTTAATTTACGAAAAACCCGTTAGACGGTAGCAAAATTACCATTCCCAGCAGATCCAGCGCACGCTTCCCGCTATCCACCGTAGTCACTGTGAATAAAACCATCCCATTTCAGGCAAATATATACAGATATAAAAATAAAAAAGATAAAAAAGAAACAATAGCAAAGAAAATAATGACCACGGAATTTAGAGCTACGCAGAAGGTGAGCGACGAGGGCGCGGTCGACGGAGCTGTCATCGACGGCGAGAACGTGCAATTCCCGTTGCCCCTCACCGGCGGCTCCGCCTCTTTCTGAAGACATTACGTCGATGATCAAATTGTATATACGATGAAATCGCGGACGAAAATATCAAACTTGAAGAGACGAGAAGGATAGGTTGAATCGTGCGGGCTTTAAATAGAGCAGGCGGGATCCTGCCTTTACGGATCCGAACGAGCGGATCGGCGGAGAATCCGAGATCCGAATCGTAAAGGGCAGGCCGGATTCGCTTCCTGTTTTTGCCCGCACCGTCCTCTCGATCTCCTCAGTTATCGTCTCAGCATTCGCTGGCTGAATTCTCTCTCTAAATCTGTCGCTCTGCTGTGGCTGTCGCTCGAATCCCACATGGAAGCAAGATCTCGATAAATAAATGGGCCTGCTCACCTTCTCTCTCCTGTTACTCTCAGACTCCCAGCTCATTAGATATTGGATTAACAGATAAAACATATCATTAGCGTGCTAATCAACCTTGGGCTCTGCTAATGAAGAATAGCACCGAGCTTTGGTAATTGCAGAGGATCTTCAATCAGTTCCGAGGAGATCCCCGACCATTACGCTTTTTAATGAAATATTTATATTTCAATTAGTTTTTGTTCGTAATATGTTATTATCTTATTAGTAATGATTCACTATATATCTATCCAAAAGTGTTGTAAATACTATATAGTTTATGCTATAAAAAGTACAATGCTGTTCATAGTATCTTTTATAATAAATATTAAATTTTCTTACTTTGATAAAAATTTGATGGCTACTTATTTTATCAAAATTCATATGCCAATTTTTTTTTTTTTTCAGAAAACCAGCTCAAATATAGCTGGATATTCAAAGCTTCAGAAAACATGCCATAAGATCCGGCCATCCTGCAGAGCTTTTGTTATCTTCTCCATTACAGAAACCGTATCGGTAAAATTTTAAAATGTATTCGAAGGTAAAAAACTTATCCTTTACATAATTTTAATTTATATAATATATTTTACTCGAGTAGAACACACTTAATCTAACTATAAAGTATTTCAGCAAATCATAAAATTCAATTAAATATATCGTTAATTTTATATTTTTACTCATAAAATATTTGACTAGACATTAAAAATGTTATATTCTATATGGACGAAAAATATAACCTAACTGTAAATTTTTTACCATGGTGCAAAATTCATTAAATAAGTATCCAAATAATATATATATATATATATCTGTTTGCCTGTTAAATTACGATTTTTGATTAAAAATTTAAGGCCGCAGAAAATAGATTGAAGTGAATAATAATAGTATATTTAGAAAATGCAAATTATTAAAATTTAATTATATCCATTTTGACAGCCTCATTGGGGCAGACCGGTTGGGGCAAGTAAATGATATTTGTTGGGGATAGAAATAGAAAATGAAGCGAGAATTGGGAAGAGAAAATAGCAGGTTAATGGCGGAGATCAGAAGCAGATATTTTGGCAGAAAGAGGACGCAATGCGAGCAGCGGAAAAAAATGGCAAAGAATCTTTGGCAGGGTCGATCGCAGGCTCGATCCTCGTAGGAAAACAAAAACAATGGATTTATAGGGCCCTTTTACTTGTTGTCATTTCCATGACGTTTTAGCCTCTTTTTAAATACTTTAAACCTTTGGAAGAAAATCTGCAAAGATTCGGAAAGGATGGCAGCGTATTTTGCATGAACGTGACAGCTGGAAAGAGAGGATATTTGATGAGATTGGGATGAGGGTTGAAAATATATTATGTATTGAATATTGATTTAAATTAAGTAGTACATTTTAGTAAAAAATTTTGAAGCTTCATCTTTTTTTATAAGATAATAAATTTGTGATTTTTACAAGTTAAATTTACTTAAAATTTTAAAAAATATTTATTTGAATTTTGATAGATCACAAAAAAATCGTCTAAATAGAGCATGAATCTTAAATGATATTCATGTTGAAGATTTTCTAAATAAAAAAAGGGATCATCTAGAGTCTAGTTTCAATGAACTTAAAATTAAATTGAACGTCTCACTAAGGTGAATATAACGACATTAAAATCAGTCCAATCTGATTACAAATGAGTCGTAATTAAGGGATCGAAGCATATTTGGAAGTTCAAAGCATTAATTAGATGACAAAATAATCTTTAAATATAACATGCTTTTAGTTGAATCGAGCGGCTTGACAAAATATATCCAACGAGCCGAAGATCTCTTGATTCCAAAGTCATTAACGCAATTAAATACGAAGTGAATATTTTATGATCAAAGGAATAAATACGTACGGTCTCTCCGACCACTTTTGCCAGCTAAGTACAGTTCATTCGACATGTGTAGACCATCAACTACGATCCTTCCGACCTCCATAGCCCACTAACTACGGTCCCTCTAACCACCGTCGTCCGCCGACTCGGCTGACTACGATTTATTTGACCTTCATCGCCTACAAACTACGATACTTCCGGCCATCGTTTCCCGTTGACTAAAATCCATTCGACCTCTATCTCCTACCTACAATGGTACCTCTGACCACCACCGCTCACAAACTCTAGTTAACTATGATCCATTCGACCTTCATCGCCCAACAATTATAGTCCCTTCAACCTCCGTCGCCCAATAATTATAGTCCCTTCGACAACTTTGCATGGGATAATGATACCTCCGACATTGATCGCCCACGAACTACGGTCTCTTCGAGCATCATCGTCTGCCAACTACCATCGTCTGACCACTTTGATGTCGGGGTCATAGTCAAAGAGTGACAGAGGACCGAGGGATTGTAGTCAGTGGATGATGAAGGTTAGGGGATTGTACTCAGTTCACTATGGAGTTCAAGGGACCATAGTCGATAGTTGAAGGTGGTTGGAGGGACACAATCGACGAGTGATTGAGGTTGGAGGGATCATAGTTGGCAGGCGATGGAGGTCGGAGGAATCATAACTGGTAAGCAACGATGGTCAAAGGGAACTCAATTGGCGGGCGATGGTGGTTGGAGGGAACGTAATCCGTTTGTGATTGTGGTTAGAGAGACCATAATAAGCAGAAGATGGTGGTCTGATGGAACTTACTAAGTGGGCTACCACAGTGGTTAAAGGGACCATAGTCGGGATGAACTAGTGGTCGAATCAAGGCATGATAATGGTTTTTGGATTGTGGTCTGAAGATGATGGTTAGGCAGAGGTCTAATGATGGCAATCTAGTGATAAAGGTTTGCCGGTGGTGGTGCCAGGTTTGAGCTCTAGGACTTAAAATCTCAGAGTTCTTTTAACTTTCTAACCCATAATCAAAGCCTCCAAAGGGCCAAACCCACTTTTGTATGGGAAGAAGGGTCATATTATATATTTTGAGAGTATCAAGCTCCATAAATATAAAGAGGATGTAGTCTAAATTTGAAGTGCTCCATCAATCGTTCCATATAGACTCCCTCGATCATGGATTATTTGCTTGGTATTTAAGTATCTTAGTGATGTTAGAATTAAGCAATCTTTGGCTCAATGGATTTATCTTGTTGAGTCACTAGATTTAACTATTATCATGCTATATTTGAATAACATTTAGTCATTAAATTAATGCACTAAAGCTTTCAAATATGTTTTGATCCCTTCATTTGAGCCCATTTAGGCTTGAATTTAACTTATTTTGATGTCGTTGAGTTTCTCTAACTGAGATGCTCAATTTGAATATAAGTTGGGAGTTTGGTTGGTCTCATATTTAATTTTGGAAGTTTCCTACTAGAATATGCCTCAAGGTACATGCTTGATTAAAGAAATTTTTTGTGATGTATCAAATATGATTAAATGTTAAAATATTATTTAAATGTAATTATTTATTTATATAATTTGAGTTGAAATCAAGATTATATATATATATATATATATATATATATATAATGACTTGTTTTAGATTCAGATTTGTTAGTAAATGATACTTGACCTTACTAGTGGGCTAGTTCTTAAAAAATGGCTTAAGAACCTTTAAGAATAAAGAGAGTAGTCCATTAAGTAGAAAAATTATTATATAAGTGCTTAAGAAGATCCAAATCTCAAGCATGCAAAGGATTCTAAATGCTCAACTTCACTCTTTATTATACAGACTTGAGGGCTATAAAAAAAGGCTATATTAAAAAATATAATGATTTATTAACTCTAAGTAATTAAATAAATAACAAAAACTATGTCTATGCTTGCATCATATAAATTCAATATACCTAGTTGTGCTTGCTTTCCTAGTCCTAGGCTCCATAGTACATCTGATATTAACTACACATATGATCACTATGTGCATTAAATGAAGACCTGATATATTCAAAACACCATATCATCACTTTAAAGATTAAGTGTAATCATTAGTACTCCATATTTAATTTATATTATTAATCTAAAACTAGAGAATTTAACCAAACATGAAGAATAAATGATGCGAACTCTTTTCTATTAATAGCATAAAAGAAAGGAAGTACCAAAGAAATGATATCACCAGATAGTTTAACAATCTCTTTTACACTCCTCCTTGAAGTTACAAAATTACTTCCACAAACACTAACCAAACACTTTAATAAGGTGGATTTAGTGTTCCCTGAAATTTCTTAGTTGTCACACCTAAGGAAATTTCAAAGGGACACCCTTAAATCAGAATTTTATTAAGTGAATGAACTCCCCTAAAAGCATTATAATGTGCTATTTATAGAAAAAATAGAAATTAGATTTTGACACAATAGGGCTCAAGACAGTTGCACCGTCACGCTCATAAGAAGAACTAATGCCACATCATAGAAGGATTTTCTCAATTGCGGCGCTTGTTGACATGAACCGACTATTATGAACCCACTATTTAATGAATCGATACATCATTTCACTAGCAGAACTTGTTCGGAATGGTTACAACTATATTGGTGCAGTGCTACTCATGATTTAGCACTGCGGCATCTATGTGGCACTTCCTTGGCTTGGCGGCATTTACTTTTGGCACCATGTCAATGTACAGATAGAGACTGGGCTTTACTGCACTGAATCCTCGAACACTGTTATATTGTCCAGATAAAGATTGGGCACCTCCATGTTAACGTTTTG